GCAGTCGATCCCCTCGATCATTTGGTGCATTCCATATGAGACCGTGGGACGGGTGGATAACCGAGTCCAAATGTGAAATTTCTGAGCTCCTGGCGTGGTTTCGTAGCTCAGCTGGTGGTGCGCTTGCCCCGTAGAGGCATGGAGTTTCTTTTGCTGGTTCGAATCCAGCCGAAGCCCTGACTTTTCACAGTTGGGTCCCATCCAAAATCATTAATCTGCCAAACTGCTCATTAGTACAGCTCGGTTGTTTGTTCGCAAGGTGTAGGCACCTTGGTGCTATATGTAGACGTGGTTATTTTTAGTGGTTAGGTCCGTCCCCCGTTCACTTTTTCTTCTTCTCTGTTCCTATATAGGGTTTGCTTTCTTCCTCCTTCGTGATTGTGTGGCAGTTAGGCGTCAGTGTGAATCACGGATGTATTGCTGTCTATGATGACGATGATGACAAGGGTTTCAACTCCGGTCACGAGTTCATGAGGCAACCGAGTTGGCACTTGCGCCATTGGCCTCACATTAAACGCGATCGAATTATAATATGTGGACGCTCAACCACCCTCACTTGTGAGCAGTGATCAGATTGGCTAAAAAACTACTTGAGTGTGAAAGCTGCGGTCAGTTATGAGCGCTAATCAAATTGAAAGTAGGCAAACTCCCAGTTATTCATCAGCAGCATAAAGTAGCAGTCTGTCGGTTTAACAAAGACCTTTTGCAGTCGTGTTCGTTTTGAGGCTACATAAGTGTTGCTGGTGCCACTGAAGCCAATTTTGATGTGGCAAATACTTTGTGAGATTAATGGCTCGAGTTATGGACACGTATAGTAGTGACTAGTAGTCTTTACTGATGTTGTGATGATGCTACACAGATGGTCGTGGCATAATGAAACGATCCACAGGACGGAAATAAAGTGGGGGCCGCCGAGAGGCTTTTGGCCGTAGATAATGTCGCTGCAAGCTGGCTTAACTTTCGGTCAATCGTAAGAGTTTTTAAAATGCCAACCCATCAAATTTACGTATAATGAACCTTTCGTGCAACTTGATATAGGCTTAAGTGTACGGCGTGCGTTCGAGACAAGGATCCGGTTCCGCTGGTTGTGATCGATCCTCTAGATGAGGCCGAAGGAACAGCGCTCATTTGTAATCCTATTTGCCCTCTGAAACCGCATGGAAAGTGGCAGTTGTCTCCTTTTTAACTTTTGGTCGACGTTAAATTTCATTCGATGTGGTTATTGCGTTTCACAAAATAAAGTTGAGTTTCCAAATTTTACGTCCCAAGGTGTTTGCTACTAAACCTGTAGCTGAAACTAGTTTGGCAAACGCTGTTGTTGTATGTTACCGTTTGTTGTCTGTGGTTTGAGTCAGCATCGGTTCCTCTGAAACCGACAAGCCATTCTCTCATGAGGTATTTCTCACGTATTTTGTATTCACCTTGTAAACATTATTCGTCTTCGTTTTAACAAGCAACTGTAATGATAATCTTCTTCCCATTAGAATGATATACAGTTATTGCCTGACCTTCTTGTTAGTTGAAGGACACGCAGGATGATAACGAAGGTTTTCCTGTTTGTATATTCTCCTTATCTGGTCTACGCATAGGTGGTAGCTGTAACGTTTCTTTTGAACCGGGTTTGCCATGTTTGAGGTAAGATTTGCTAGACCCTAAGGCTGGTTTATCAGTGTAGCATGAAACTTTGACCCATTTCGAACGGCTACTGATCTACCGACATTATTGGGTCCATCGTTTACATGGTAGTTGGGATACAAATGTTAATTTGTTTGTGTGTACTTATATAACAATTAAAACGGACGTATACGCTGATCTGTGTCTATTTCAGTGCACAATGAAGGAACTGACTGAATTTTTATTCCGTATGGTAACTTATTGTCTGTCAATGCATAACTCTACAAAAAAAGCCCACAACTGGAAAATATGAATGGAATAATGAAGCGAACACAATTGTATTCAAAAAATATGCTGTAACAGAGAAATCAGCGAAAGTTCGGACAACTCTACAAGGGTAAGTATCAAATAATTCAAATTGATAACTGAGGCTAGCGAAAGGAAAAAGTATCAGACGTCGGTGAAACGTCAGGGTCGAATCACGGTTTCAGATGTGAAACGTAAGACTGTCACTTACCTGATCACAATAAAAAGAAGCTGTTGCCCTGCAACGACTTAAAAAGTCCGGCATGTCACTTCGGTTTTCCAGCAGGTTTACCCAGCTGTATAAGTATGCCCCCATTTTACTATTTTTGTCAGATATCAGGTCAAATGAATTGGATCAGCTCATTCTTGCATTTGCTCAGTACTTTGATACATATTTCAAAATATTGGAATTTACGGAGCGTTTTGCTGAAAGTCAGATGTGAGTTTTGAAAAAACATTGCAGCACAAATAACTGCATAATCAGGTTGCCGAATTCAGTACAAATACTAGAACAAGAGGAATACAAACGGTGGATTCAAAAATGTTTGACAGACCTGGCTCAAGTGTATGCACATTTTTTAATGCAGCAAGGACGTAAATATCTGGAAGTAAACCACGTTACCGATCGATCTGTGAATCCAGAACACCAAGCTCGACAAGATCGTTGCTTGTTCGACACGATCTATTGGTTTTTGGTGTTTGCCATATGGGTAATGTTCAATAGAAAACGATTCAAAATTATATGTGCCCAGATTGGATGGTAAGCTGAAGTTTCTGTTTTGTTCGTAAGGTTTAAACAGAGCTTCAGAAGATTTTTAAACAAGTGGTTGACAGTTTTAGACGTTATCCTAATCTCAATTTTGCTTGTATATGTCCATAAGCTGTAGGCCCTCATTCTTTAATGTTTTTTTATCAAATTTGCAAGTAAGACGTCATGGTTTGAATATTTGAAGTTTGAACGAAGATCGATACCACCAACGTTTGTGAGCTTTAAAAAATGTGAACATGAATATCAGTTTTACAGCTGTGTCGCAATTGCAGTACCTCTGCATGCTGGGAAATCACAACACGACCAATGTCTAGAATGTCACCAGTTACCGCTGAACATCAAACAAAAATTGAGCTTTATGTGAAATCATAACGAACCTGTATCTACGCCATCCCTTAGTATCTCTGAAACTGTTCGAAAAGTTTTATGTCCGACACCCTTAACAGTGAGAAACAATCTATTTTTCTACAATGTTTTCTTCATAGGAGGCGGGAGTCTAACCAGAAGGTACTGTTGTTTTTCCACCCAACAACGAAGTGCAAGATCCTAGATGATGAAGGGGCAAAAATGATAAAAGTGGGCAAAGTAAAGTTAAGCAGAAGACTTAGAAACGTAGTCGACACAGGTAAGCCACTGATTGCAACAGGTTGTCGTCTCAGGCAGCACATCTAATTTGAATAAAGAAGACAGTAGGCTGATATTGAACGATTTATGTCCGGACAAATTTCGCTGCCTCTTTACGAGTGCATCCAACAGACCATTCATATATCAGTGGGAAAACGAACAAGATACCAGAGAAAGTCAATTGTCAGAGTGCACAATCATTGTCACTACCAAGGTAGTGACAATCCTACAAAGAGTTGTTTCTGAACACACAACACGGGTTTGAACTTTCGGATTGCAACAGCTTCCAGCATAGTGCAATGTTCGCTTGTGTGATGTTGAGTAGATAACACGAAATGCCGTTGTGGGATCGCATTGGTGTTGCGTCATTAGAATATGATGTGCAATGGATGATGCAGGCTCTTTGTTTCTATGCGCCACAGTGACGTCATGTGCTTGTGTGACCTGTATATTGACCCACCTCGGGATGTGCTCCATGACCCTGGTTCTCAACTGGCGCTCAGTCCTGCCTATGT